TTAAAGTGAGCATTCTCGAGTTCTTTGCCCCTGGTTCCATGCTGGGGCACTCGCACGGCGAAGGCTTGCCGCACGTGTCGCACACGTTCACGACAGCGAGTGAGTCGAAGACTTCTCCAGCTCACTGAGACGTGACGCTGTCCGCTCTTCAAAGCTAAGTGTCGCGCGGTCATTGCAGTTTGCGGTAAACTGCGCGGCACGGATCTCCCTCGGAGAATCTATGGGAATGCCGGGGTAAACGTGGAGATTTCGTGTCGCCCCTTTCCCGCGACGACGAATCGGGAACTCTAGGATAGAGAAACGCAACCGTTTCCTGACTTTCAGCAACCTATCCTTTCCCGGAAATTCCTACGATGGACCTACAGCTTGCCAACAAGAACGCTTTGATAACTGGATCGACTAAGGGGATCGGCTACGCCATTGCCGAGGTGCTTGCCAAAGAAGGAGCGAACGTGATCGTCAACGGCCGCAGCGAACAGTCGACGGCCGACGCAGCCAAGGCGATCGGGAACGGTGCCCGAGGGATTGCCGCAGATCTTTCCACGGCCGCCGGTTGCGACAAGCTGCTGCAAGAGGCAGGCCAAGTCGACATTCTGATCAACAATGCAGGCATCTTCGAACCGAAGCCGTTCGTCGAAATCCCCGACGAAGACTGGGAACGTTTCTACCAGATTAACGTCATGTCAGGCGTTCGTCTGACACGATCGGTTCTGCCTGGCATGCTTGAACGAAATTGGGGACGCATTCTGTTTGTCTCCAGCGAAAGCGGTGTGCAGATTCCTTCCGAAATGGTGCATTATGGGATGACCAAAGCGGCGAACATTTCTTTGGTCAACGGGGTCGCGCGACTGACCAAAGGAACACACGTGACGGTCAATGCGATCTTGCCTGGGCCGACCGCTTCGGAAGGGGTGTCCGATTTCGTCGGCAATTTGGCAGAAGACGCGAATCAGTCGAAGGAGGAATTTGAGAAGGAATTCTTCCAAACGGCTCGACCAACTTCGTTGATCCAACGGTTCGCCGAAGTCGAGGAAGTTGCGAATACGACGGCCTATTATTGTTCGCCTCTTTCCAGTGCGACGAACGGGGCCGCGATTCGGGTAGATGGTGGCGTGATTCTTGGAACCTAGTTTTGGCTGAAACCAACGCTCGCGGCGATGGGTATGGATGGGTAACGATTAACTCATTTGCCGCGAGGTTGCCATGTTTCGTCGACGCCATTGGTTCGTATTGCTGCTTGGTTCGGTCTTCGTTGGGTGGATGATCTGGGGTCGGAGTTCATCGACTGCCGCGGAACTTCCCTCGCCACTCTCGCCGGGGCAGTACGAAATTACGACCACGTCCGAGGGGTTTGAACGCACGGCGGTTGTCCATATTCCCAAGGGATATCAAGCGACCAATCCACCTCCGCTGGTCATCGTACTGCATGGCGGCGGAGGCGGAGCCGACTCGATCTTGAATCATGACAATTGGGCCGCCAAAGCTGATCAAGAAGGCTTTGTGGTGGTTGCCCCCAATGGATTGCCGGCGCGGCCACGACTGCCAGCCAACTTTCTGGCCAATCCTCAAGTCTGGAATACCGGGCAACTGCGAGACGGTTCCCCTCG